GCCAATGGAATGGAACGTATCAGGTATGAGCTACTTGTTCTTTCACGCGTCGATTTCATTCCACTGAGTAGTGAAGAGACATTTCACACGTGACTGCCATTTCATGAGCACTGTAGTTCTTTCATGAGCAGAAAATGTGAGATAACTTTGGCCACATCAATGACGTCGATGGCCCGTTCACTCCAAGACACTTCGAGTCGGCATGGTGCGGGACGCAACTTCTCTCACTGCAACGTTGAACACCGCACCGACAACTTTCAATAGGGGCAGCAGAGGATGGGGAAGATGCCCTATTGCCCCAGTGCTCACAATAACACGAGCACCTCACTCGAGCCGGCTTCACATGCTCATGCAGCGCTGCGGCATACTCAATCTTGAGAATACATTTAAAGCTACTTGACATCTTCTTGGTTCTTTCGGTAAAGTCACGTAGAAGGGAAATAATAAAATCATAAAAATAAAACATAATAAAATAATTCTCACGACGTTTCGGCCACAACGCAAGTAGCCGTCCTCAGGGGGAGACCTGGTCTGTCGGGGAAACCTGGTCTTCACCTGAGGACGGCTGCTTGTGTTGTGGCCGAAACGTCGTGAGAATTATTTATTATGTTTTATTTTTATATTTTATTATTTCCCTTCTACGTGACTTTACCGAAAGAACCAAGAAGATGAATCCCTGCAGTCACGAAAGCTTTAAATCGAAAAAAGCTACTTGACAGTCCAATATTGTCTTTCACTCTCCAATTTTAATGACTGTAGTTTACTAACTAAACCCATTGATATCCATCACGGATAACACGTGCCTTTCTAATTCATAGAGGATAATAGGTATACATACATATTTTTCAAGTTCATCATCATCATCGTTATTGATCAGCACACTGTTATATGAAGGCCTACCCAAGCCGTAGCCATCTCTCACGGCCCCACGTGACGAAATAATTCACCCAGCGTGCCCCCAAATTAGTTCGCTGGTCCACGTGGATGTAGCATCAGGCAAGCTCCCTCCCTGGGAATGCGCTCCCTCGTTATTCTCAATCACCGGCCATCCCCTCTTTTAGCGACGTGCCACAATTGTGGGTAATATCCATACTTAATTTGGAGCTTTCGTGACTGCAGGAATTACTCTTTGGTTCTTTCGGTAAAGTCACGTATAAAGATAAAATAATAAATTAAATACTAGCATACGACGTTTAGATTGCAACACAAGCAATCATCATCAGGTATTAATTAAATAGGAACACAAATCTAGTATACTTAGAAATGTAATGTAATACAACAGAGAGTCGGATAACATAACAGTCAACACCCTATCTGGTTGATTACGTTCTTCCTGAGAATGATAAATTTGAGAAAGAGTAAACACAGAACCAGAGACATATAGACAGACATATAAGCAAACAGATATCACAGAGCATCTCTGTGATATCTGTCTGCTTATATGTCTGTCTGAGTATCTCTGTGATATCTTTCTGCTTATATGTCTGTCTATATGTCTCTGGCTCTGTGTTTTATCTCTCTCTCAAATTTAGCATTCTCAGGAAGAACGTAATCAACCAGGTAGGGTGTTGACTGTTATGTTATCCGACTCTCTGTTGTATTACATTACATTTCTAAGTATACTAGATTTGTGTTTCTATTTCTTGTATACCTGATGATGATTGCTTGTGTTGCAATCGAAACGTCGTATGCTAGTATTTAATTTATTATTTTATCTTTATACGTGACTTTACCGAAAGAACCAAAGGGTAATATCCATGACTGGCATTTGGCAAATAACACCAGCACACAATAATCATAAATGATGCCACGGAGTCTCGAATGCCTACTTCAGAGCAGGCAGCACAATTGGGTAATTCGAGCAGATAACGCGGTGGTGGAAATGGAGCTGTTAAGTCAACGCAGAGTGGTTCATGGAGGGAAATCATACTGACGACCCTTGACACCATTGAGCCATGTTTGGATGAAATTCATCGCTGGTGCTCATTTGTTCACGAAGCCTTACTGGGTCTCAAAAGATGTTTCTTCAATTTCTTTGAGTTGGTATTCTCACATTCTCTGCTGCATATTATAAGAGCCAAGATACACCTGAGGGCACGCTCAAATGCAACACGGGTATTTTTTAAATGGATGTATTGCAAAGCCTCGCGGCGGGGGGGGGGGGGGCGGGGACATAGGAGGCTTGCTCGACAATCGAGGTGCTACAGAGACAACTCAACTGATAGTGACACATTCACATCATAATTCTGGAGGCCACGTCTCACCTTCGTAAAATGTTTGATAATAAATAAATAATTACCCCGTAAAAACTACGTTTTTCACTATAAATCCTTTATATGCGTGGCGGCTAGAGTCCTCTCGTCCTCTGGCTTGAGATGGCTGCCACCTATGGGTCAGATGATTGCCTGCCACCATTAAGCAATTGGTAGTTAAATATAATTTTTCTTTTGCTAAAAAGTGGAAAATTTTGGAAAATAATTTTCACGAAAATAAATTGTCACGCACAACGAGTCTGTGTGCAAAATGTCAGCTCGATTGGATCACGGGAAGTGGGTTAAAAAACGACCGAAAGATTTGCACGGTCGTAAGCGCGCAAGCAAGCAAGCAAGTGAACGTAATATAAAGGATTTAAAAAAGAATCAGGCAGAAGTAGAGATCTTTCTTCGGGCACACAAGATGAACAAAGCCAACCAACTCTCCCCATGCACTAGAAGCAGATGCAGCAGCATGGAAAACCAAATATACTAAATGGCCAACTCACACATGACATCGTGGTGTCGTTGTTTCCTTCAATTGTTGTTTGTTTCTCTGTGCTGGGCTGCTCATTTGAGCGAACCTACAAGTACATCGGCACGGTGGTCCTATGCCCCTTCTGGGAAAATGTGCCGCATTCATGTATGCTTTCGAGCAACACGTGTCCACCAACATTTTATTCTACTTTAAAATAGTTAAAAATCACAAATTGTGTCGTCTGTACAAAAGACGAATTAACGTGTTTAACGACACATTTATGTGTACGTGATCTAACCCAATAATATTGGTCGCGAAAGCCTGTGTGTTAAACTGAAAACAAAAGTATGCAGCTCTCACCAACGCCGAAATGTCAATTTCATTCCACGTCCTTCACAATGAATCGATTAACAACCCAATAAAAGCGTGCGGCTTGTTGCACATGGGACCACACCACTGCTTTCATTCGTCTCGGCACGGAAAAACAAAACGAATATTGACAACGATGTGGCGGCTATGCGCATGGCCTGTAATCCAGCACTGTGGAGAGGGCCGAGGGTTTTGGTGGATCACCACCGAAAGAAACTACACAAATGTTGCGGGGCCCCCTTCCCATGGCCACTTGCTCGCCAGCAGAATGCAGAAGCAGCAAAGTGTGGACTGATATCATCCGTCTCTTCTGCATGGGATAAGAGTGTTGTCTCGCCCCCCTCGCATGCGTAGGCTTTTTCCGGGCGCTCCAGGTTCCTGCCACATGTATAATGGACGCTTACTAATATGCTGAAAACATCTTCGCATGGAGAGAACTGCAGCGGCAATTGTTGGCTCAACGCTACGTAGCCTTCCAGGTTGCCTGTGGTTCCTCGGCGAGTGTGAGATGCGATTTGCATGAAAGACGCGAGATGGAATTAATCATTATATTTTTGTGTTCAGATTATACAAATATAACGCTGTAAATGCTCATCCACATGTGTACCTCCGATGAGCATGGTTGGCTATGTACGGTGCAAAGGAAGTTCAGCAGACGTACATACAGAGAATGTGCTGATCCTTGGATCGGGTTGGAAAGTGAGCTGCACAAGTAAACATCCACCGTGTTTCGATTTAAAGCTTTTCGTGACTGCAGGGATTCATCTTCTTGGTTCTTTCGGTAAAGTCACGTAGAAGGGAAATAATAAAATAATAAAAATAAAACATAATAAAATACAATTCTCACGACGTTTCGGCCACAACGCGACAGCCCTGTTCTTCACCTGAGGACAGCTGCTTGCGTCAGACGCTGAAGAACAGGACTGTCGGAAAGACAGCGTCAGACGCTGTCTTTCCGACTGCCCTGAAAAGGGCCATTTCATAAAGAGACTAATTTAAATAGTGTTTCCTCCTGAGAGCGAACTTTTAATAATAATAATAAAACGAGCCACCACGGCTTTCGCAAAGGTCATGGATACACACGGTGCACTAGTTTGTAGTCACTTCCTATTGTGTGCAGTTCTACAATACATTTGTGCACTTTTCCCCGGGTATATGAGAGCACACCAACCTGTTACCCCAATGAGCATGGTGGTGCACACTTGTGTGGACGAATGAGTGAATGTTTGTGCGCAGGAATGTGTGTGTGCCCGGGTGCATTGTGGGAAACTGCGAGACACAGAGTGTTGTGGACTCACCTCCCCATCAATGGGAGGCAAGGAATGGTGGTGGTGGTGGGGGCTTTTGAATTTTAGTGGGGGGATGCAGGTAAAGTTGATGAGTCAGATGCCTCCTATGACTTCTGGTTCCAGGTGCTGGCTAAAGTCACCCCTCGGGATAGAGAGTCATCTTGTTTGGTTACTTTAATGCCCGAGTGGGTCATGATGCAGGCACCTGGTCTGATGCCTGCAAAAGTGAACGAGGGCCCATGTCCTTGACACGACGACCGACCGTGGAGCTCATCTGCCCACCCAAGAACGAATTGTCATTTATAAGATGTCCCTGCCATTCTTCCACTGCGATGATGGGTGCCCGCCGAGGCCCCATTCAAACCCCCAAGAGCCTGGTCTCTGCTCGGTGATGGAGGCTGCAAGGGAAAATGTCATCATCGCTTGCAGTTGGGGTTGACATCATCCCCCCCCCGCCATCATCCTTCCTCATGCTGTGGGGAAATTGGCGAGGTTCAGGACTGTGGCTCGTGCGGCTGCAATGAATGCATTTGGTAGGTGGTCCAGACCTGCCCAGAGACACTGGGCTGATGGAGGTATTCAGGCCACCGCGACGCGCGTGCTCACGCTCACCTGCATGGAGGCGCCCTCGACGCGCGCCACGTACGCAACGCGGTCCATCAGTGTCACGGTGACGGGCACGGACACAAAGAAGCCGCTCACGAAGGCACGCAGGTAGCGCCTGCCCATGTTCGCCATGGCGTGGTGGCAGTCGAACACAGTGCCGGGCTTTGATGAGGGGGGGGGGGAAACGGCAAAAAGATTGAGTGGTGGGATTAGTGGAGCAAAACGTTGAATCAGAGCCCGACTCAGCATAAACATTAGGCTACATTATTGCTTTGAGTAATGGACAATCAAAGCAGAAATGAAAAAGATCAGAGTTTTGGAACTTAAGTGCTTGAGGAATATATGACGCAGTTCATTAATTTGGCATGTTTCAGCCCTGAAAAGTAAAAACGTTGGTTTCATGCACATGTGACATTCTTAGCAGGGAATATTTTTACCAGGTAAGGCCCACTCAGGTATCGAGCTCTCTTTCAGAAGAGACCTGGCTACAAATTGTAACTGAACAAAGTGGCTTATGTCTAAATTTATAGTAGCCAAATACTCTAAACACATGTTATTTAATGTGGAGGGGGAAACCAGAGGACCCGGAGAAAAATCCACATGAACACGGGGAGATAGATATGTGAACTCTAAATATATAGCAAGTGTCAGGTTCGGATTCAAACCCAACGACCTGCTGTATACCAGGAAATGTCGGTAACATCTCGCCACAGAGGTGCCCCTAGAAAGCAGAGGTGCCCGTAAATGGAGCATGGGATGACAACGCCCAGAGGTTAGAGTTCATGCAACAAAAAGCCAGTCTTCACCAAGTTGACGACGCAATGTACGCAAGTATTTGTAGGGAAATACTAAAATCACGTTCTCTTCTACAGAGTGGACATTAAAAGACCTGTGCCATCACTGCTGACAGAAGGCCACGGCATCCTGATGTAGTGCTCCAATTCAATGTTCACAATGAAATGCAGGTGACAAAAATAATTACTGGAATGTGTCATTTTATAAAATGGGTCTCCCATTGCTGACTGGCAAAAAGGCAAATAAATCAAAATTGTATGTTACGTGATTAACAAGTGATGTCATATCTATTCATAGTGTGTGTTTTATAGCAGGCATAAATCAGTCTGTACTGTCATTAAATAATACGTGTTTAAGTGAAAGTTAGATACTGTGCGACGTTATTGGCAGGAACAGGTCACAGTGTGCCTGTATCATGGGCACAGTTCCAAACCTGCTATCAGCACATCTTAAAATACACTGGTAATTACTGGTCCACTGGAGTGTGTGATGCTACTACCAAATGCTATTCCTGGACACTCATCCCACTTGGATGCAGCACCTTATTAAATGTGTTTGTGAAATTGTATTAAAAGATATAATGAAATACTGAGTCTGCAGGGTTTCTCTCTTTAAGGGCATTTAGTTTATCAATTAAAAAAAATTAGACAGGAAAATCTCATTCAATCTCAATACCATTTCAGTAAAGTCTTGCTTGGGATGTTTGGCCACTAATTTTTTGATCCCCATACATTTGTTTGGTTTTGGAAATAAACAACAATGGCAGTTGAAAAGCCACAATATATTGCAAATTCCCTTTAACCCTTTCCCATTCCAAAACGACTGCAAAGTTGCAGGGTGGGACCCATCCACCGCTGAATGTTGGAACGTGTAAGCGGTTCAGCGATACTTTTATTTAGAGAGTCATAGCGCCATTGTTTTTAATATTGTACTCACCGCAGAGAACTATAGCGACAAGACCACACTTTCATAGCTGGCGCCAAACTGTGCCACACGCCCTCCCACATGGCCTTGTGGGAGCCTCGGTACTGATATACTTATTTTACTTTTTCTTTCCGATTCCGTTCCGATGATGTATACCTGATGTATACTTCCATCATCGGAGTGGGAAAGGGTTAACTGCCACACAAATAAGCCATCGACCTACGTGCAGTGCCTGCACAGGCATCTCACTGCCCATGCAAGAGAGTGTCCTGTCTACATGATCTCAACACAATCTACCAACCTCACCTCAAAGTTTCTCTAATTATTGACATGTCCCACTATGACTTTTTTTCACTCATCCGGAGGGCTAGAATTTGTAATGCTGGCATGGTGTACTGTGATAAATGCCCATATATTTTTGCCAACATGTGTAGTGTCAATTGAAATTACTCGCGTACGCTCATTACTGCAGATCACTCTTGAAAATGAAGTTGTCCTGGTCTCCTGAGTTCTCACCCGGTTAAACAAAATAAACTTCAACTTGCTACCGCGTACACCAAATTATTGTTGCTCCATAGATGGAAAAATCAATAGGTTTCCATTGAGGGGTTGGAGATATAACTCGGCTTATTCAAATAAAAACTGCCTAATTTTCAGTCGAATAAGTAGAAAATGTCCTTTACCATAAAATAGCTGTTCCATCAGCTGCCACTAATAGCATGGTACACTATTATTAATGCACTGGTTTCAGAGTGGGCTACCGATTGCCAGTATTTGTTAAAATATAATCGGTCACGCGCATCTTGTTTCAACTTTAAACGTACAATAGTGACTGGATCCATCGGAAATATGGTGGCATCAACAGCTTTCGGCCATGACGACATTTTGACAATGGGCCGTATACATTCACATCCCGCTCGCGAATGAGGCTTTGGGAAGAACACGTAATGTATTTTCTTGGTTCTTTCGGTAAAGTCACGTAGAAGGCAAATAATAAAAATAATAAAAATAAAACATAATAAGATAAAATTCTCACGTTTCGGCCACAACGCAAGCAGCCGTCCTCATAATGTATTTTCTTTTTAACCGGTCCTCATTATTCCCCAAATAGTTATTTGAATTAACGGCGCCTACTTGACGGCCGAAGTGCACGTAAGACCAGTGGCAATGCATGCGCAGGAACTTATCTTCCTGAAGTTCAACAGCTCGAAGCGGGAATAGCACGCAGCGCGTTCCACTTTACGAGTCATCTGAGCTGCCCTACGCACGACTGCAGCACCACGGCCATTCAGGCATACACCAGTTACTTGCATAATGGCTTCTATAAAAACAAAAACATTACGTTGCTGGCTAATTAGATAGACAAATCAAAGCAATGCTAGGAGGCCTCTGTCATTGTAATAACACATTGTGCCAATGGCTGTAATGTGTAATGTACGCTGTAAGTGCCCCTCTAGGAGGTGAGAACGGGCTTGGCAGGCTTGCGTTGGCAAAAACAATACCCATTAGCGAGTCTGTACTGTGATTAAAATTGCATGCTTTATGCTTATTTTATTACAATCATATATTGTGGGGTGTTGTTATCGTTATCAGCCCATGAGACATGAAGCAATGTAACATTTCAAATGTTTTATTATGCTTCAATAACTATCACACATTATCATGCACTGTCTGTAAAGATAAATGTGTGCAGCTAAATGTTATTCTGCTGCTGCCCAGTGCAAGAGGACACAAAATACTGGCTGCGACTACTTTGCCCGTCCATCTGGTGGCTTAAGATGATCGTCTACTCTACGAAGAGGTTAAAGACCCACCTAACTTTGATATCAACTGCTGTAGACCGATGCCAATTTTCCTTTTGGAAGGCGAATGTGTTTTTATTTTTTCTTATTACAGTTTTAGCGATGGGGCTATTGTATCGCGAATAACAGAAGCGTGGATCAGGCACGACCATGATGTCACCGTCTAATTACCATTTATTGCTGCGGGTTTATTTGCTTATCTAGCATGGTGAAGTTGCACCACGCGTGTTCCAGTCGGGGTTTTTTTTTCAGTTGCGCCAGTGTTTTATAGCACGTGAGGTCCTTTTTACGCCAAGGAGCAAATGCACCGATACATTCATATCGCTCCAATTTATAATTGATTTATTTTGGCTCGGATCGTGCAGGCATGTTAATTGGAGCTATAACCATCCGCCACCCAAAAACAGCCAAACAAATCAAGCTCTTAGCATCTAACCCAACACGAATAAAATTATAAATTGTATTGGTCGTGAAAACCTCTTACGAATAAATATTTCTATAAAATGTATTTCACAGGACACGCAAGTTGTTGTGGTCGTTTTGCAGGGACCATTTTTTGTATTATTAATTATTTGGGAGTTTGACTGTCAGGTTACAATAGATCACGATCAATTATTTCACAGGATCGTTCATGTCTACGTAACATACATCCTAGATTTACAGAAACATGTAGAAATGTATAGGGGAGCTTCTTCTTGGTTCTTTCGGTAAAGTCACGTAGAAGGGAAATAATAAAATAATAAAAATAAAACATAATAAAATAATTTTCACGCCGTTTCAGCCACAACGCAAGCAGCTGCTTTACCGAAAGAACCAAGAAGATGAATCCCTGCAGTCACGAAAGCTTTAAATCAAAACATAGGCGAGCTGTTATGGGAATTGAGACTATGAACTTCACACACAAAACTGTGGCAAGAACACTTAACAACTCGGCTATGCAACTACCCCATATAAGTTATCCAGTATACATGTTGATATACAATACTGGCATCCACTAGACAAGGAACAATTAATTAATGAACAATTATAACGGATTCCGATACTCATTATATATGCATTGTATTATACGTGTAAAATTGAAAATGAAATATTCATGAAATGACATTAACATTTTTCACTCAAGCAAATGCAACAAATGAGACAGAATGAGATGGAAGGAGACAAATGAAATGAAGGCAGAAAATACAAATTAATAAGTACAAACAAGACAAAAAAATAACAGATACTTGAATTAAATCACGAACCAGAACTTGTATCGATGTATATTGTTCTGTACATACCTACATATCACATAGTAAACACAATACAATGTTATCACCTACTGGAGATCATTAACCCACAATTATTTTCAGCATTGATTTTCATGAGATATAGTCTATTACACATGCTTTCAAATAATGCCCCGCTAATCTTACAATTATGGCTCAAATGCCAATATGAATTAAGAACATGCATGAGGTCCAATACAGCACTGCACCAGTTAAGAGTCATTAAATAACAAAAAACGGATTTCTAATCAATGATAAATCAGCAACATATTACAATGACAATTACTTTTACAATAGAGTGCCTTCATTAATGCCTAGACATTCTTTATATTTTTAACTACAGTATAATTGCTGCAAATAGCCGTGTAGATTT